GCGTTGGGTTCTTCAGCTAGAACTTCCATTTGCTCTTGGAACAACGAGATTCCCCACTGGTAAACATTTGAAGCGTTGAAAAACGAGGGAAGGTCTTGGGCGGCGAGTGGCGGCAGCCCGGGTAATTTTATCAGACACTTGGGATTGGACTCGTCGGCTTGGTCTTTAATGGCGGACTCGTACCCGTTGAAGTAATAATAGTATATGTCGAAGACTGTGGCGGGTTGAATCCAAAGGAGTGCCGATGGGATGTGATGTTCACGCGCCACCTCCGCCGCCCAAGGTAGGAGCAAGGAGTAAATGATGCAGGTGATGTGTTTGGCTTCGTTTTCATTAGTTATTATGAGGTCTGAGAGAGCTTCTTTGCCTCGACGTCTGAACTCAGATAAGTAAACGTCTTTGTCATCGCCGGGCTTAATTCCATCGTTCCATCGGGTCGTAGCCATCAGAATGAGATGCTCGTGAATTGGAGGGCAGGGTTTATATGGCCTTGTGCGGGGTAGGCTAGTAGGAGGAAATGAGGTTGTGGCATGGTGGTCACGGCGGCGCGTGGATACTCCAAATTGGCTTTTTTGGTTTGATTTTCTCGAACGTCGAAATTAGAGTAAATAACAAGGAAAGAAATGGGGTTTTATAAGAAAAACATGACGTTAGAGCTGACGAATTCTGGTTTTGATGAAAGTCTCGAACTGCACGACCCTTTGAGGTTCAGATTCATTTAGCTGATATGGTTTTAAGTACCATGAATTCCATTTTGATGGCGACGAACAGAGAAGTACTTCCGATTTTATGTTAAAAAATAAATTTGAATTTTAAAAATTTTAGATGAACGAATTTAAATTTATAAAAATTTATGAATAAATTAAATTTTTAATAAAAAAAATATAAAAATAATTTAAAATATATAATAATTTTAAAATTTGAAAGAACGACCATCGTACCCTCTACTCGTACCCTCTAATCATCCCTGGCGACAAGATCTTAGGGTGTGTTTTGGTTGGGGGAATGTGAGATTCTCATGGGAATAGAATCCACATTCCCCCGTTTGGTTGGCCAGAAATGTCATTTCCGGTAATCTTAAATTACCAATAGTGGATTTTTTGGGGTATATTACCGGGAATGTTATTACCTCCATTTCCTTATGTATCGTTAGATTACTAGCGTTTTGGACTAAAATGTCCTTAATTTTTTTTCTTTAAAAAATATCATTATTTTGTCATTGAATAATAAAAATTCTACGAATGTTAAATTACAAATTTATCCTTAAATTATTTTAGATTTATAAAAAAATCTATAATTAAAATTTTATATGAAGTTCAGGGTTAAAATAAAATTTTACCATTTCATTAAACCTTTTTATATTTTTAATTTTGTAAAAAAATATATATAAATTTTATGAATTTAATTTTTTTAAAGAAAATATATAAATATTTTCTAACTTGTTAAAACACAAATATATAATAAGGACAATTTGGTCAAATATACATTCCAATAATCTTTTATTTCTTTAATCAAATACGGTAATCTTACATTTATGCTAAACCAACCAAACACAAAATACAACATTCCCAGTAATATTATTTTCTGGTAATCTTTTATTCCCACTGATAATCTTACATTCCGTGAACCAAACGCACCCTTAAAGTATGACAAAGGAGTACGAGTTGGAAAATGAAGTTAAATTAGGTTAGCCAATCAGATATAAAACACAAAAGAATTCAAAAACGTTATTCTTTCTTGGTGATAGAAAATAAGTAAGACTGAGTTTGACTATGAGCTAATTTTGTATTATGTTTTACTTAAGAATGTGCGTTTGTTATTGTCTCTCGCGAGGCAGTCTAATATTTTTTTCGATTAAATTAAAGTGATTATAAAGTAGTATTTATTTTAAATATATTTAATCATTTGACAATAAATATTTAATCATCTTTTTTTTTTACTTTGAGTTCGTGTTGATTTTTTTATCGATTAAATAAAAAATTTCTTATTTAATTTTATTTAATCGACGACGGCATTAGTTTTGATATTGGTTGTTAACAATCAGTTTTCTTTTTCTTTTAGTTTTTTAATAAAATAATTTTACATTTATGACACGTTTATCTATGTCTTTATGTCATTTTTTTTTCATTTTTCTCTAGGTTGTTTAGTCATTATTTTATTTATATTTTCTCAGGGTTATATTTGATGACGCCATCATTGATCAAGATGACATTTATTTAATATCTTGATGATCTTTCATGTTATGGACCTTAAAATTGAATTTGGATGCGTGACTTTTGCATTCGTGGATATTTTCTCACGACACTCGACTCTGATTTATGGTTCTCAGTGGTCTTTCAATAGTCTAATTCATTTTTGTGGTTCGTTTGCCGATGCAATCAGATTTGTCTGCATCTATTTTTGTTCAGTCTTTTGATTGGAATTTCAACATTTTCGTGTATGGTCCTTATATGATATAAAGTGACTAGTTTTAATGTTATAGGAAAATATCCAAATTATGTAAAGATCATACGATAATAGCTGTAAAATCTTACTAATTTTAGATATTTTTACTTTTTAATAATACAATCGAATTCTATTAAATTATGCTTTTTACTTTTTATATATTTTTTATTAAATTTATTTTCGTCATACTTAAAATTTTGTAAGTTCAAATTTATTTTCTTGAAATTTTTTAAGTTTAAGTTTATTATCCAAACATAAAATTATGCTTTCGTCCCGGTCATAGTCTACGATGACAAATAATTTGAATTCTATTAAATTCGTTGTTTATTTTATTAATTATATCTATTAGAATATTTTATTTATATAAAATATTATATTATTAATATATATCTCTACCTTGAAAGATATTTATAAATACGGTACTTCTCGTCCATAAACCAATACTGACAACCCTAATAGCTTTAGTTCATTTACCTCCGTATCTAACTTATCAACAATCATATCATCCACGGACAGATGCAATGCATGGTCATGATTTTAGGTTAAGCACGAATTAAAATTTTAATTGACGAAAATATATTTTTAATAAAAAAATATATATAAATAAAATATATGATAATTTTAAATTTTTAAAGAGTTACAGCCTCTACTTGTCCCTCTCTGTTTATCTGTAGTCATGATAATAAGTGTTTATCTTAGAATCTGATTTTTTTTTATATTAATAGTCCATTTTATTATTAGTGTCTGTCACGTATAAAAAAATTCAATATTTTTTAAAATTGATATATATATATATATATATCAATTTTAAAAAATATTTCTAAATCCGTCACTCGCGTAATTCATTCAATTTTCCCAAATTCATTTACTCTCTATAGAGACTTGCCGATCAAATTGTTCTCCCTTCCTTTCACAAAATTTGGCAACTAGTACTATTACATAGGGTTGTTCATTTAGTTAATTCGGTAGTCGAACCGACCGAATTATCATTAATCGAATTAATCGAATTTTTTTTAACCGTTAACCGAAACGAATTTTTTCCCGAAAATATTAACCGAACTGAATAAATTTCGGTTAATTTTCGAATTAACCGAAAATTTTTAAAATTTTTTAATTTATATAAAAATTAAATATTTTATAATTCAAAAAAACTGTTTATAATTAATTTAAATAATATATAATTATAAAATAAAAATTTTATATAAAATTTTTTAATTAATTAATATTGATTTAAGTTTAAAAGTTATTGGATCTTAAATTATTAATTGTGTTTTAAATGGTTTGAGCTAAGCCCATATGTTATATATAATATATTTAATATTTTTTAATTCAGAAAAACAATTTACAATTAATTTAAATAATATATATATAAAATAAATTTATATAAAATTTTTAATTAATTATATTGATTTAGGTTTAAAGTTATTGGATCTTAAATTATTAATTGGTTTTAATGGTTTGGGCTGAGCCCATATGTATATATATAATATTTAATATTTAAAATTTTATTTCGGTTAATTAACCGATTTCGAACCGAATTAAGCCTTAACCGAATATCCAAAAAAACCTTAACCGTTCTCCGACCTAACTAATTCGGTTAGATCGGTTAAAACCGAATTTTGAACACCTACTATTACTGGACCCATCAAAAATTTGTTTTCTCACACGCACCAACTTCATATTATTGGACACATCACAAGTCCTTTCTATAAAATTACAAGATATCACAGGCTAAATGAAGGCTAGCAGCCGAAGTATGAACCTCCACAAAACTTGAGTCAAAAACACCCAGCAGATTGTTCGGCTAGACCACCACCAACACGACCGGAATGGTTCCCGCAAGAATCCCAACAACAACAACAATTTTGGTCTTCGGATCAAAGGAGACATTGTTCACTGCATCCGACGACGATAGGACCGTCCGTGGGAAGTGGCCTGCTCTTCCATATTTGTTCCCTGCATCTCAGTCTGTTCTAACGCATATAAATAGTCAAGATGTAAGATCCTAGCATTAGCAACAAGGAACCAAGACAGTTGTAGATTTTCAATTTTTCATCATGCACGAGCAAATTCCTTCCATTCCATATTCCATATAAGCGTTAAAAATCCTGCAAAATCAACGATGGAAATATTATTTAATGCAAAATCAATAATGGATATATATCATTTCACCATATAGTGTGAATTGAACAGTATCAACTTTAAGATGTCAGGTGTTACACGTGTCTTCAAACAAAATATGAATACTCCACGATTGTATGACGTCTTAGACAAATGAAGAAGACTCTACGATTACATGGTATCTTAAACAAATAAAAAGGACTTCACAACTGTATGACGTCTACAATTAAATTGAAAAGATCTTAAAAGTGCACAGACTAATAAAAAATCTTAATTCGAAAATAATTTTTTCACAACCATATAAGGCGAGGAATCCCGCCCAAATCCATATTATTTCCCGCTAAATTCAGACAGGTTGTCCCGCCCCATATACATTTATACTTATCGTGTCTCTTTTCCCCGCCAAACCCCATTAATTCTCTCTCTCTCTCTCACACGCACACAGTTTCTTTAGGAGGGTTTACAATGGCGGACTCTAAGAGAATCACTCAGAAAAGGAAGCGCTCTTCTCATTCACTTAGACATTCCCTAAGGGGAATCATAACTCGTAGCAAGTCCCAGGTCCATGTTCACCGCAATCGGTCGGGAAAATCTCGACCCCCGTCCATCGGCGGCGGAAAAAACCAAGTTCTCCAATCCCTTTTCAAAAAACCCAGAAAAAGCTCGCCGCTTGAAGATTCGATTGGGTGCGATTTATCTTCCGTTTCCATCAAAGATCTCCGGTTAAGACGGGTCTTTTCCCCTTCTTCCACTGGTGGGCTAATTCCTATCTGTTTGGGTGATGCTGAGAATCTGGGAAAAAGTGAGCTTGCTAGGAATTGTTTGGATGATGCTTTGAATCTGGGAAAACATGAGCTTGCTGGGGATTGTTTGGATGATGCTGAGAATCTGGGAAAAAGCGAGCTTGCTGGGAATCGTTTGGATGGAATGAAAGAAGATTGTGGAAATGGGGATTTTAAAAAGTCGGAGATGTCGAATGAGCAACTTGTTCGGTCAACTCCACCCGATGCTGAGATCGTTGGAGTTGAGCAAGTGATTGAGAGAAATGAAGGTGAAAAGATCAATAAAGAAAAGGGCTCTCCTGAAGAGATAAATGGAACGAACTGCTCAACGAAATCGGTAAGATTTTAATGTCGTTATGTTTCCAATTTCTCTAACAATGATGTTGAATAAGTTAATTTTCTTTCAATGGCGATTGTGTATGTGGTTTTGTGTAGGTCCTTAGACCATGTTCTCGAGTGAAGCTTTTCAAAGCGCCAGTCTCATTCAGCTTAAGAAGATTGCTTCCTTATTTGATGGATATAAAAAAAGAGTGTCCTGGTAATTCCCCTGCTTTGATTTTGTTCTACTTTCAAGCATTGGTTGCACACGAAACAATGGCATTACAACATTCTTGCATATGATCTTTACAGGCTCCCCGATAATGGTCCGTTGTCCTAAAACCGAAAAGGGTTTCGAAGAGAAGCAATTCTTGGCTTCAAATGTTGAAGAAGCATTGGGAGATAAATCTATGGCGACTGTCTCCTTCACTTCACATGGAAATGGCTCTTTAAATATTGAGGATTCTCATTTCAACAAGGAAAATTCAGCTGGTGTGTTTTCTAAAGATAAAATGTTGGCAGATAATGGTGAGGTTGCAAAAACTAATGCTGAATCTCCTTGCAATGTTCAAGTTATGGACTGGAAATTTTCTCCGGTTAGCGATTATAATGAAGTTACTAAAAATTCCAACGAGGAAATAAAGCAGTCTGAGATTGAAGAGGATGATGCTGAAGCTGTGGAAAAAGTTGAAGACTTGAATGTACAATGTATGTCAGTGACACCACCGGACTCCGACATGATTTCCAAAATGGAGACTGATGATAGCAGAGGCATAGGAGTGGATTGCCTTTCTCAAGGAACGAATCGAGATGGTGAAAAGTCAAAGAACCGAGCCTTTCGCAGAAATGGTGGTCAAGATAGTGACAAAAGCCTGGACACAAGTCCTAAGAACAAGTTGGTAAGATGCTATGGTAGCTCATTTTCACAGTGCATACTTTGCTGATAAGTTCATATGCAACTATACTAGTTGATGGCGAAACTTTAGACATATTTCACGCGAATGTAATTGGCCTTTGTAATGTTGAATAGGTCCCAAACCAACAATTTCGTCCGAAGTTACGAAAAATCCCGGGGTCATTCAGTTATCGAAGGTTGCTTCCGTTTTTGATAGACTTAACAAATGATAACTCCTGTGAGTCCTTTACTTCCTTGACTATCTCCCTCTTATCGAACCCTTCTCGTTTTCGAATAGTTACATTGTTTACTTGGATGCTTTCCTAGGTGCTTCTGGAAATGATCAGTCATTGAAGGTTGACAAGAGTTTAAAGGAAAAACCTATTTCGCTAGTCTTTACTTCTGGCAAAGGTGCATGCATTGAAACTTTAGATTGCAAAACTCGCGCTGTAGAGCAGTATACCGGTGATGGTATTCGGGTGCCTTTGACTGAAGCAACTGCCGTAGGATGTTCATCTAACGATAAACCCACACGAACTCCACCTAAACAACTTGCTGGTTCCTTGCTGATACCTGATTCACAACAGGAACATGCATCAGTTATTAAACATGCTGCATTGGATGCAAACCGAAAGTTGGAAACTAGCCCCAATCATGTGGTTGAGCCATCAGCCATTTCATCTAGTCCTCTCATCAATTCTGGACTTCTCCAAAGAGAAGAAGCTTCTAAGTCAGTGTCTTGTCGGCTAACCTTTGAAACCGAAGGGGATACCACAGAGTCTACTGCAAAATGTGCAAATGATGTAAAGGTAATCGAAGCTGATAGCTCGGGAGAAGCATCTATTCCTATAGGACTTCCTATTGTCGGTCTCAAAAAGGGGATCCTTAAAAGAAATCCTCCTGGATGCAGAGGTGTTTGTTCTTGTCTGAACTGCACTTCTTTCCGGCTTCACGCGGAGAGAGCATTCGAATTCTCAAGAAACCAGATGCAAGATGCTGAAGAAGTGGCCTTGGATTTGATTAAAGAGTTATCGTTCCTACGGAATGTCTTGGAGAAATCCGCTTCCGGTGCTAATGATCAGTCTAGTATATCCATCAATGAGGTGAATGACATGTATACATATTCAACATAATTACATGAACTTGTGCTGAATCTCTACTATGCTCTGTTCAGGTTACATATGCTTGCAAGAAAGCCTCTGAAGCTGAAGAACATGCCAAAGCTCGTCTCGGCGAAATGAACTATGATCTATACATTCATTGCAGAATCCCAGTGAGTATAATTTGTGCTTTTGCTCTCTATAGAATACCATCTTGAACAATTTCCTCATCTTGTCTAACAATTTAAAGTTGTTCATGTAGTGTGGGCGGCGACCGAGCGTGAGATTCGCCAATTACGTCGAAGAACAGATCATTCCGATAGCCGATTCATCAAATAAATAGTTTTCCATGTACTGCAATGGTAGATGCAGTGCTTTCTCTGTGATTGTTGTATCTTAATTACCTATGTTACTCGGATTCGGGTGTGAGTACGAGTCTCTGTATCGAATAGCAATTGTTCTTAAACTCGTATATCGATGCATACATTTTTGTCTATATAGTAGGTATTATTGGATTTACGAACGTTTAAACTCATATATTGTTTTGTCGAGTATTTTAATTATTAAAAGTTATAAGATGATTATCTAATTGTTTATATATTTCAAATTCGTAATTTTTTGTTTAAAAATTGACAGTTTTGAGCTAGACATTAACTTGTTGACTGAGTATGATAAAATTTGATTTCGAATCCGTTTGAGTTGTTTTTTTAGATTGATTCTCCGTTTACATTATATTGTCGAGTCAGTTCTTGAAATATTATATTATCGAATTAGTGTTTGAAAACGACGACGGTACCAATTGACATTATTAAAATATGATTTTATCATATCTCAGTTAGCATATTAACATCTAACTTAGACAATCATATAATTTTTTAACAGAAAAGAATTAATTTGAAAGATATGAATAGTTTAATCGATATTTTGTAATTTTTAATAGTTGATGTATTCAACAAAATAAAATTCTATAGTAGAGGAACTATTTTACAACTTATAATAGTCGAAAACTTAACAAAATATCACCAGAACCATTATACATTTTACTCTTTATATTATTTGTCACAAATAAATCAATAATTATAATAATATTTATAAATTTTATCTATTTATAAATAATAATTGTGATCTTAAGATTGATATTAATATTAAAATTTAATATATAAATCATCATACATAAGTGGAAGAATATGACGAGGTTTATTTTAGAACCTCCGTTTACACTCGGGCGGAACACCCTGAGGAAAACGCTTCAAATCGGTGCAATAGTTGTAGATCATGAAGTGCTTTTGAACCCATCTCAATCTCCGTCTCCAGGGGACGTTGAGCTCGGTGGTTGCCCAAGCACCGTCGGAGACTGAGTTCGTTTAATATCTAAACTATCAGTTTTGATCCGTTTTAGTACTTAAATTTTTAATTTTTTTTAAAACGTAACGTTAAGTTTTTTAACGGATACTAAAATGAAATAAAAACTAAATATTAGACATTGTTTTAAAAAAAATAAAAATTTAAATACTAAAACGAACTGAAATTGATCATAACTCTTATGATCTGAAACTCAAATTACAGCATATAGACTGCGACCAGTATCCTAGAACTTATATTCCTTCACATGTGTTCCTAATTGGCCCGATCCGATGCCTTCGTCGTTGCTGTGCCGACACCTTCACGGCACTCGTCCAATGAATGGTGCTATTCTTACTTTTCAAGTGTTGCGGGGTACCCGGTCTCTCATTCGTAGGACTGATGGGAAGGAAAAGAACCAAATGGAATGGAGGAGGTTAGACGGGATAAGTACTCGCGCTGGCGGAAATTCCGGTACCGAAATGCTACATCTTTCAACTGTTTTCTACGGTCAAGATTGCACGGCCAACTTCTGAAGGTGCTCAAAGAAGATTTGTAGGCTTACGTCGTCGGTAAAGATTACGTCTGATCCGGTAGCCATGTTGATGGGATTACTGTATGTTGCTGATGGGTTCAACTTTGCTAACAAAAACCTTGCCTGCACAAGGAAACCGAAATGTCGTTGGTACACTACAAGCCTGTAAGTAAAATACTGAATTGGCTGTGGAAAGTATAGGAAAACCGGACGGGGAGGGGCAGTTTTTGACTTGGTAGGCGACGTGCAGGAGGCCATGCATGGTCCCCCAAATTGGCAATGCCACGGTCATGGCCCCTCTGGTTTCGGGGACCCGATTTGAGGGGTTCAACAAGGCTCATCTCACCTAACTATGAAACTTTAAGTGCTGACAGACTGCAATTGTTACATTATGAACATGGTTCTGATCACGAAATGTACCGACCTGGGATCCATGCTGATCACATACAACCAATCTAGGGACGGGGAAGCGTTCCTGAATAATCATTTCGGCGTAGACGTGGGGTGCTTGCAAAAGCTGTGCAAATGCCTGTCAAAAGAAATAAGCTCTACACATCAAAACCATAGACCGAGAACCTAGAGATCGGTTGCAAATTGCAGCTTAAGAACATTCTAAACTACTGATATACGATTGCGATCGGAGCCGAATATATGTTCAGACTCGAGATAAAAGAATCACTGAAACCAAAACAACAAATACACATCATACTTTCAGGCTTAAAGAAACAACAAAACCGTGCTACTATGGCTTCAGCATACCTGATGTTCAGGCTGATGCTGGTAACCCATGTTGCGCCACTGTGCTATCGTCATACCATGGAATATAACGACACTGAAATACGCATCGAGCAAGAGAATACGATCAGCTGAAATCGAAGCCACGTCCAATAATGCCGGTTGAGGCAGTGAGTCGAACGAATACGATATTAATGACGGTTGGATCATAACGGCTGCATTCGTAATGTTTTCTCGGTTTAACAACGTGCGAAAATAGGCGGTTTCATCTGGACTGTTGTTAAAAACCTGAAACAGAAAGGAAGGAGAGAAGAATCATAGGTCGATTACATATTCGAAAACAGGCAGGAGATTACGAGAAAAGCAGTTACCTGTATAAACTGTGAGCGCCGCAAGTTGAACATGAACTGAGGAAACAGAGAGAAACAAGAGTTTAATGTAAAGGATGATGGATCATCCTTACTATATTCGCCGAATTTCGAACAAAGTCGAATGAGACTGCGATCTAGCCACCGTGTAGCATCAAATCCCTCCTAAATGAAACAAACAAGTGATAGACACCTAAAGAAACGATAGATCGAAAGTGGATTCGAGAAAGAAATACAGCAACCGGTGCATAACGGAATAGAAGTCGTGTTAAATTACCTCCATCTCCATCTTCAGAGAAGTTATTCTTGCCATTACAACAGCTGCCGTCTCTTGATCGAAACCTTGTACTAGTTCCTATATAGGACACATTATTCACAGTTAGAATAGATTAACGAAGACAGAAATGAAAGTGACAATTATCCAAATTAGCTGACCTCTGTACCGACAGCACTTTCCACCCATCGTCTCGTCACGGTCGTAACTCGAAGCATTGTTTTACCTTGGGGGTCTTGATAACTGCAGTTAAGATACATAAGATCACAATCAAATTATAGAATGAACAAAGTAAAATGCAAATCAAACATATTTTAAGGGGAAAAAAGATGACCATTTTGAGTAGTCCATGCTGCAAACCTTGTAAGAAACTGCAAATAGAGCTGTGAATTTGCACCACCTGGATCATTCGATCGCTCGGTTGCTGAAATATCGAACAAGACCGACAAGCACGTACTCCTGTTGAGGCCACACATTTTCCATGTCGTAGTGTTCCCCTCCCCAATGATCGTGTCAGAGACATTAGTTCCCGTCTGCAACACAAGTAGTAATCAGCTTAAATCTCCATAAATAGTAGTAAATACAGTCCTTCTGTTAAATGATTAAATGGTCCAACCTTCTCCAAAGATGTGCAAGGTCCAATGGCCCCTTGAATTTTGATGTCTTTGGAGCAGTTGACCTCAAGCATGCCACTAAAAAGGAAGGGGAAAATGAGCTTATCAGAAATCGAATGGTTCGAAAATCTAGACCTCAAACAAATAAGAAATGGACAACAAGAACATAAACTTGAAAGAGATAACATTTATGAAAGAAGTGAAGTTAAATGGTTGAAGAAGAAGAAGAACTAACTTAAAACATAGGCCAAGAGATTGTTCTCCATCCTTGAACATACACCTGAAAGAGCCTTTAAAGACAGAATGACCAAAACTTTCAGCTAGAACAACGAGGCCACCTGTTCTCTCAACTGCAACTTTCATTTCAGCAACCCCAACCTGAGACGTCACGAAGATTACAACATAAAGAACAGACACGAAACATCGGAGGAATCGACCTAGATCCGGCATAGCTACTGTTTTATGAACAAAACAAACCTGATCAAGTGCAGATGCAAAAAGGTCTAGCACATGACCCTGGTTGACAAGCTGTTCCGCAAGACTATCGTAAAATCTGACTGCTTTCCGAAAATATGGCGCAGCATCCTTATCGAGATCTTTATGTGAACGTACAGGCTCCGATAAGTCCTTCGAAACAATCTGCAGAAACCGAAAAATCAATAACCGGAAAGAATCAGGCAGCTAAACAAAGAATTTAATGGCATTACCGTCCCAGGCCCTTCGGTGCATGGACCACCAACCAGAGCAACAATCCTAGCACCAGTTCCAGGCGTGCAGGCTCCAAGCAATCCCGATGCAACACTTAAGGCGACTCCGGTGCACCTTGACACCCGATTACCGGGTTGTACAGGCCACTGGTCCGTTTGCAGCTCATCCAACATCTAATTAAAATCAACCAAACACGTGATAAACATAAAGTAAAGGTCAAATATTTCAAAATTGAGTTTCCCGCCATATATTTATAAAACGCACCGAGTTGAGCGTGAATTCGCAATCGGAAGCAGGCAATACAAACCGGTTGATGCCCGAATTTGAGTACCCATTTTGTATCCCTTTCCGAAATCCGGCAGCTGTCCGCCGCCCGGCAGGACCAAGGCCCAACTGTTCCAACACTTGCTCCTTTGAAATCTCCTTATTACCTCTGAAAACATAGACCTTTGATATATCGGAGAATCCCAATTCATGTACATGCACTTGAGTCCCATACGAAACGAACCCGACGAGCGCGTGTTCCGGCAACAACCCGAGAGCCTGCTTCATCGCCGATTTAACGAAATCAAGCTCCTCCTCGACCATGCACGTGTCCAACACGAACACGAACACGGGCGGCAACTGAGGATGAGCGGAAGGGTTGTTCGGATCGGGAGTCGGTTGGAGCGAGTATTGCACGGTGGTGAACTGCGGGTAGAGCTCGCAAGGCAGGTTCGTCTCGGAGATCATGGCGTAGTGCGGCGGGAAATGGTTGCGCTGGTAACAGAACGGGCATATCCAGATTTTAGCGGCGAAATCGACGCGGGCAAAGGCGTTCAGCACCGCCGCACACGACTTGCACCGCAGGGGCGCGTAAGGGAGCGTCGGAATGTCCGGGTGATGACGTATCGGAGCAATGACAACTGCCAACGGAATCACGCAGGCACTCGCCTCCAGTTTAGTACGCGGCCAAACGTTCCACGTCATCCTAACGGCGTCGATCCCTTCAGGATCAGTGTTCGCCATTTCCGACATGGTTGAAACTTATTTTTAAAAAACTGAACAAAAAACTAAAAATAAAAAATCTTTTTTGGATTAGATTCGATTAATAATATAGAGATTGAATAACCGTTTCGATTTTTTTACGATTTTTTTTTTTACTTTTTCTATGATTCCAGGCGACCCCAAAGCTATATCGGGGTGGAAGGGGTCACCGATAGAGACGAAAAGCGAAAACTTTATTGGTTTTATTGAAAGAGAAAGTGATCAGTGGAATTCATCTTCAAGACCGAGTATTTATAAGGGAATGTTTGTAGTAACGAAAGGCTCTGCGCTTTCCATTCTTCTAACGACACGTCTGAGTATTTCTTCTGGATTATATTTCACTACTAAATTTAACTTGAGCAAACTATGTATTTAGTACCTAAACTATTAGTTTTGGTCATTTGAGTACCTAAACTTTTAATTATTCAAAACCATACCTACTGTTTATTTTTAATTTTATTTTAGTATTCTTTGATTAAAAACTTAACGCATTTAGTACCTAAACTATTATTTTTAGTTCGTTTTAGTATCTAAAATTTCATTTTTTTGAAAACTTAACGTTGAATTTTGAATGGGGTACTAAAATGAAACAAAAACTAAAGTTTTTAATGACATAGTACTAAAATGAAACAAAAACTAAAATTTAGATATAGTTTTGAAGAAATTGAAAGTTTGGGTACTAAAATAGATCAAAATTGATAGTTTAGGTATTAAATACATAATTTACCCTAAAAATAAAAGGTAAAGTACATCAATGATTCTCTGACTATAAAGTGTTATTTTGTTAAGTCATCCAACTATCAAAAGTTATAAAATAGTCTATCGACTATAAGTCATTGTTTTATTGAGTCCCCTAACCATTAAAAGTTACGAAATAGTCACTCGACTATTGATATGTTTAAAACTCGTATTTTTTTTTATTAAAAATGATTATTGTATGTGCTGAATATTAACATATTAACAATGATATAGTAAAATATGATTCATAATATCAAACAAAACCATACTAGATCAAAGAATTATAGAATCAAATTTTACCATATCTCAATCAACAGATTAACGTCCAACTCAGACGACAATCAATTTTTTAACGAAAAAAGACGAGTTTAGAACATATGAATAGTCGAGTGATCATTTTTGTAACTTATAGTCGATAGACTCAATAAAACAATATCCTATAGCCAGAAGACTATTTTGTAACTTTTAATAGTCATATGATTTAACAAAGCAACACCCTATAGTTAAGAGATTATTTATGTACTTTACCTAAAAATAAAAAAATATAAAATTTTGTGTATACAAAATTAGAAAGTTATATTACAAAATTAGAAATAAAAATTATAAAATATTAGAAAATGTGAAATTAAATCGGAAATATAAAAAAAAACACCTCAAGTACACGAGAATTTGGAATAACGAAGAGTGTGAGCGCCATCACCCTTCCATCCATCTATGAAGATCATTTAATTATGTTTAAAATAAATTTTTATTGGGTGAAGCATGTGTTTAGTACGTAAACTATCACTTTTAATCCGTTTTAGTACCTAAACCTTTAATTTTTTTTCAAATTCATATATAACGTTTAGTTTCATTTCATTTTAGTACCCATCATTAAAAACTTAACGCGTTTAGTACCTAAACTATCATTAGTTTTGATTCGTTTTAGAATCTAAACTAAAAAAAACCAAAAACGTAACATTAAATTTTGAACGAGATTCTAAAATGAAACAAAAATTAAAGTTTTTAACGACATGTACTAAAATGAAACAAAGAATAAACTTTAGGTATGTTTAAAAAAAATAAAAGTTTAGGTACTAAAATTGACCAAAACTAATAGTTGAGGTACTAAACGTGTAATTTACCCAAAAGATTATATTGATGTATTTTGTTGACCTATTGTGTACTTTACCCCCAAATGTGAAGCGCGAAGATCTCAAACTCGAACGACAATGTCAGGCGCTAGAAAAGAGGAGGGAAAGTTATGGAACTATCTTCATTGCTTCACCTCGATATCACCTTTATATTCCCATAGATTCCGATCTCTTTTGCAAAACCAATCTCCGAGCATTTGCCGGTGAAAGAAAACACCGATCACCCAAAAGCAATCAGCATGGAAGAAGCCTGTGACCCCATCATCAAGGTTGTGAAGAAGGGTCATGATGAGGAGCCCTTTGAGTTCAGAGTTGACGAAGGTGGTAATAGTTTTGTCATCCTTATTTGGTTCGATTAGATGCAATGCCATAGGCACATCAGTTTAATACTTAGCTATGCATGAAGTTGTTCCTAATATGGATAAAATTTGTTGCAGGAAAAGTAGTTGACGGTCTTGAAAAAACTGTGAATACCATGAAGAAAGGGGAGCACCCACTCATCGCCATTCAGCCCGAATACGCTTTCGGTTCATCGGAATCACAGCAGGAGTTGGCCGTTGTTCGGGTACATAGAGCATGACGATTCTTTCAGCCAGGAGGAGCAGCAGCAATGTAAGTTGCTAAAAGTGACTCGCAATCTCAACAATGCAGCTTGCCAATTGAAACTCAAGGAGTACAAGCAGGCTGAGGAGCTATGTACCAAGGTAATAGCTTTAATGCCACCTAGACAGGGACGAACACATAAATTTATATCAGGGATACGAATTTAAGAAATTATATTAAAATTTTATATGGGTGCAACCGCACCCTCGGTCCATCCCTGTATGTAGATCTCGTCTTGAAGAGAAAATGTAAATCAAGCATGCAGGGGCGGATGCACTAAATTCGTTAGGGAGCAAAGTGCATCTCTATTATTTAGAAAAAAAATGTGAAATTTAGTTTATTATATTAAGAAAAAAATAAAAATAAAAAATCACCACTAAAAATTTAAAAATTCAAATTGATCCCTCTAACATAAAATCCTGCATCCATCCTATACAGCCTCAGTCAATTTTTTTTCAAGCATGACAGATGAACGTAGATAAAATTAGTGTTTACCATCGCCATTAATCATGGTTTATTGGTCCAAACTTGAATGCTCGATTAAACTATGCATGCATGTGCATTATGTTCATACCATAACCAATTCAAATTTAAGCAAAGCACATGCATGTGCTAGCCAAGAATGATCCATTCTGCCATAGCTAAAATCTCGACACGTATCGCATTAAAGTCGAAAAACCAGTCACGAGCATTCATTCCTGAAAGCTATTGCATCAATTTAACCGTCTCATGGCAACGAAAGGGAACACGAAAGCATGCATCGTGTACATATTGGAGCACATGAACAAACATCATGTCAAACATGTTATCCTTATCCATTTAATCATAGACATAGGGATACCAACGTCGGATCAGGTTTCTATCAACTCCTCCCTACCCAAAAAATATATATTTTTACTCTAACTTAATTCGACCTGAATATTATATATTCTTCACCTAATTTGGTCCGACACAAAAAATATATATCCTTCATCCGATTATAATCTGATCTGAGTTTTTAGAATACAAATTTGACTCGATCTAACCCAACCCAATATAAAATAAAGACTTAATAAATTTCACATGTTTATTTCATATTTATTAAAGACCATAAAACAAGAAGCTTGTGGTTGTCTTCCCTACGAAATTAAATCAATCTAACCCAAACTATGGGGACCAATTTTGACACTTTTGATACCCAATTCATAAAGCATGGGAACTGGCATTTGATGGTGATTAAATAGGACAAATAGGCATCCTAAACCCTGGCCATACGTCACCAATATGTCCTTATAAATGGTACAATTTAGGGTAAATTATGTATTTAGTACTTAAACTATTAATTTTGGTTCATTTTAGTACCTAAACTTTCAATTTTTTCAAAAGCATACATAAAGTTTTTTTTAATTCTAGTTCCTGCCTGTTAAAAACTTTAGTTTTTGTTTCATTTTAGTACCCATTCAAAAGTTAACGTTAAGTTTTGAAAAATTAAAAATTTAGGTACTAAAACAGACCAAATATGACAGTTTGAGTACTAAACGCGTTAAGTTTTTAACGGCGGGATACTAAAATGAAATGAAATGAAAACTAAATGTTAGGTATGATTTAAAAAAATTGAAAGATTAGGTAATAAAATGGACCAAATTTGATAGTTTAGGTACTAAATGCGTAGTTTACCCTACAATTTAATCATTTTAGCTTTGGGGAAATGGAAAATTACATTTTTGGCCCCTGTTAAAAAACTAATGGTTCAATTAAGTCATTTTAACACAAATTTTTTGACATCACCCCCAATTTTTTTTTAAAATTTATTTCAACATGAACATAAAATTCCTGATTCGATCCCATTCGAGCAAAAACTAATAAATATATAGCATGAAATAAGAAAAAGAAAAAAAACCATCAAATGTAAATTAGAAGATTGCTTGATTCTATCAATGTTTTATCCCATGATTATAGAATTTTGATTTTAACCCATGCATGTCCAAAGCTATGCTTTATGCATGGAATAATTGCTTAATGATTTTGGTGAAGCAAAATTTTAGGCTTTGACATCAAATTTTCAAACAAAAACAATTTGTAACAATTTGTTGATTTTCCATAATAAAAATATCCAAAAAAATGTGTAAAGTACACAAATGGTCCATCAAATATAGGGTACTACTTTATTAAGTCCCTCAACTATTAAAAGTTACAAAATGATCCTCTGACTATATAGTGTTACTTTGTTGAGTCTCTCGACTATTAAAAGTTAAAAAATTGTCATCCGACTATTTATTATCTTCTGAACTCATCCTTTTTAATTAAAAAAAATTAGCGACATTCTGAGCTAAACGTTAACATGCTGACAGTGACATGATAAAATCTGATCCCGGAATCTCAGACGACTATTATATCTCAGTCATCATGCTAACTTCCAACTTAGGCAATTGTCAATTTTTTAACGAAAATGACGACTTTGGAACATAATGAATAGTCGGGTAACAATTTTTTAACTTTTAATAGTCGATAGACTTAATAAAATAATATTTTATAATTGAATGACCATTTTATATCTTTTTAATAATCAATAGATTTAATAAGCAGTACCCTATAATCGGGGTAACATTCTATAGTTGGATATATACCAACCAAAGTTAAACCAATGAACACTTGTTGAGGGTAAAGAAAAGCATAAAATTATGGCGGATGCATAATTTTATGTTAAACACGTAAATTTAAAAAGTTATATTAGTAATTCAGAGCACACAAAATTATAAAATTTTAGAAGATACGAAATTAAATCATTGATAGAAAATACAAAAAAAAATACATAAATCATATGTAAATTTAAAATTTTCAAAAATTTAATTATATCTTCAACACCTATTCTAGATTCATCCCTTCATAAAAGTACAACAAGATTAGTGTAGAATATTAACAAATATAAAGGATGATATACAAGAATTAAAGTGACAGCTGGCATATAGGTACCTCCTAAATCATCATTAATTATATAAACCCCACAAATAAACATATTACATCAAAATCTCTTGATCATTCATTATATATTATTTAAATTTGGATAATTATTGAATATGAATGTCTATTTGATATGTGTTTATTTAATTTTTTTAATTTTTTTGTATATTCAAATGAACATATATCAAATATTGGAGTCAAATTGATAGAGATTTAAAAAATATTTAATAAAAAAAAGAATTAGTATGAAATTTTAATAATTCATTTGTATTAAAGATATTAGTATGGAGGTGTTATTTTATTGAAGTGGATGACATTAACATAAACCAAACTAGAAGATTCAAATTGGTTCTGTTAGCACGAATCAATTCACTTCAGTAGTAAATGAATTGTTATTATTTTTTGAGGTCTCGGATTTGAGTACCAAAAATGCTAGGGGTATGAGCGTTCATTATCAAATAATTAAGAGTCTTTCGAATAAGGGTAAAGTATATAAATAGTCCCCGACTACAGGGTACTATTTTATTAAGTCCTCCGGCTATTAAAAATTACAAAATGATCCTCTGACTATAGGGAGTTACTTTGTTGAGTCCCTCGACTATTAAAAGTTACAAAATGGTCACTCAACTATTCATTATGTTCCAGACTCGTCCTTTTCCGTTCAAAATTTGACGATAGTCTAAGCTGTACATTAACTTGTTGACTGAGATATGATAAAATCTAATATCGTAATCTCAAACTACTATCATATCTCAATCAACATGTTAACGTCCAACTCATATGACAATTAATTTTTTTAACAGAAAATGACTAGTTTGGAACATAATGAATAGTCGAGTGACCATTTTGTAACTTTTAACAGTCAAGGAACTTAAAAAACTAACTCCCTATAGTCAAATGACCATTTTATAACTTTTAATAGTCGAGTGATTCAATAAATTACGCAATTTAGCCACACAATTTGCTTTGGCAATCACTATCAAAATGTGACATTGATGATGGAGAAAGATATCAACTACTTTAATTGATTCAACCATCTAAATCTCATTGGTTGTCTTAGATTTTAAGGATAAATTATGCATTTAGTACATAAACTATCAATTTTAATCCGTTTTAGTACTTAAACTATTAGAGGGACATCATGGAGGAGCCATGTTGTAGGCCACTCTATCATTAAAAAATATAGGGACAATTACCTATTTAGGCCTCTAAGTTTTGATTTATTTTGATTTTGCTCCCTCATTTTTTATTGTTAATTATATTTTTCTCCGTGAACTAAATACTGACTCCGTCGCTGATTGACATAGTACTCGATAAAGAACAGGTCGCACCTTTGCTTATGTGGTAGGAAGATAACTAATGAGAATTTAATTAAGGAAATTAATATCCCCCTTATCACAGGTGAAAAATCTTGTCTAATTAAAGCAAAATCCCTTTGAATGAGGGCAATTATCTCAACTAAATTGTCCTTGATTAATCATAACCATCAACCACATCCATTAATACCTAAAAGTACCACAAATTAATAGTCGAAAACAGGTGCACCAAACTTCCATTACAAAAAGTTGAGATCTTCTTGCTAAAAGCACATCATAAACATATGGATTTGAGTCTGTTATGTGAGAGAATAATCCCACAATTTGCAGTGTTGTGTCAGATTCATTCAATCAAATGATTTCAACATAAAATTTAGAATAAATTATGCGTGTAGTAACTAAACTATCAGTTTCGGTCCGTTTTAGTACTTAAACTTTAAAAAAAAATTCAAAATCATACCTAAAGTTTAGTTTTTGTTTTATTTTAGTACTCCGCAGTTAAAAATTTTAGTTTTTGTTTCATTTTAGTATCCAAAAAAATAAAAGTTTAGGTACTAAAACGGACCAAAACTGATAGTTTAGGTACTACACACGTTAAATTTTTAATGGCGGGTTACTAAAATGAAATGAAAACTAAACGTTAGATATAGTTGTGAAAATTTGAAAGTTTAAGTACTAAAATATATCAAATTGATAGTTTAGGTATTAAAGGTGTAATTTACCCTATAATTTATTACTATTATTTCAAGTAATTGAAGAAGAGAAGACTTCTTGTTTAAATAGCAATGAACCGATAACGAGTTGGAGAATTATTAGGTAGGTAGTGGGGAAAAGAGTAAGAATGGTTATTGGTCGGATCAGATCGAATTTTTATTTATTCGAACTTGATCTAAATATAATACTCTTTCCATTCATATTTTAACCGATACGAGTTTAAAAAAGTTCTATATGACTTGAAGTTTGATTTGGTTTTTAAGGTAAAAATCTGCACTCAACGCGATAAACACATATATATAATCTTTTTTATTAACTAAATTAAGGATCTAATTGAAAACGTTTAGAGATATGTATTATTACAATCATATCTAAATATATAAGAAAAAATATATTATTACCTCGGGTTGGATCGACTATTTCTCACCTCAAATCCAACCTGGCTTTATTCTTTAAAAAAACTCATTTAAACCTAAATTTAAGAAAAACAACAATCGAAACATGTCAAATTCAGATCAAATGTCGGATTAAATTAACAAACGACTCAATTCAAACAAAATTGCTTGAAAAATCATCTGATATTTCTTTCAATTTCAATTAGATCCATCGCCAATTGTCAAAAATTATCGTTGGCAAGACTTTTGGAATTTCAAAGACAACTTTCATGGGGAAAAAGTTATCTTCAAAAGGCCATCTCTTTATCTTTTTTACATATGAGTCCCACTTTTTTCCCCCCACAATGTCATCTTTTAATAGAATTTCCTCTTTTTTGTCAGAATTTTCTAAAGCAGATTGGATTATAAAGACTAAGGGCCTCTTTTTATTATTCATCCAACCAATTTCTTATGGGTAAATTACACTAATCATTACTAAACTTTATTATCTCTCCTATTTCACTTACTATAATTTAAATCCATTCAATTTCCTCACTGAACTTAATATATTGTTTTTTTTATCACTCCTCCGTTTTCTCACTAACGGCTTTATGAACTGGCTATTATATAGATGCAAAACGACGTCGTTTTGGTGCAAATTTCATTTTTCTAAAACGGCTTCATTTTAACGCCGTTAACTATTTAACAACAGAGTAGCCAAAAAACCAAATGTATTAAGTTGAAAATTGAACGGATTTGAAGTAGAATGAGTGAAATAGGAGAGAGATTAAAGCTTAGTGATGATTGGTGTAATATACCCATTTCTTATTTATTTGATCATCCGTATATTTTTCGTGTTTATAATTACATTCGATATGTTTATGTATTCGTATCATGTTTGTATTATTTGAGACAAAATTAAAATTAAAATATTCATAAAGTATACGAACTAAAATCGATTAAATTAGAATGCAGGGACTAAATACACAACTAATGCACAATATAGGACTGATAACAAAATTTGACCAAACAATTAAGAATGCATGTAAACTGGGAGATTATCCTGTTGGAAGAAATGACAATGGATTACAGCTCAAAAACACAAAATCATGGCTAATCATCAGTTGGACTCGAGAGATGAATTGTCCCCGCTTTAACAGCTGTTTACAAGTAAACGAATATCTGATTTTAATTTTTTTCCAGCTAAATCTGAAAGCAATGTGGAGAGAAATGCTGTCTTTTTCATTTTAACTGTACCTTTTGTTTGGTTGCCGAGAAAAGAAAAACAAAAGAAAATGGATAAATTCATTGGACACAAACTCTTTGTTTTGCTGTTGATGTTATCTGCACTTTTTCTTTAACATTAGTCTTGTAAACAAACCCATAATTTGCGGATGAATATTAGCCGAAGATATGGGGATTAATCTAAATTTTCGATTCGATCCGATTCGAAAATCGTAACACATGGTTGAAACAGAAGTATTACATAAAAATTCATCTCTTTTTCAACCTCAGCCGAAGCTAACATGTCTTGAAACTGTGGCATTTAGTCCTAAAATATTACAAATCAGGATTTGTTGTAAGAAATCTTAAAATTGGGGCCTCAGAAACGATTTCTGGGAAATAAAGGCTTTCCGTTTCTATTTACAATGGTGCTGTTTAGTGGTAGCTCACAGCTCCATTTTCACTTGCCCTGTTGGTATTGAGCCTGCACCGGAGATTAAAAAATCGGATCGGATTCGTTATTCGAACTCGAACTTTGCCTGATTCCGAATAGTCGAAGTAAAGTAATGGATCGGACATGGTTGAATTTATGCTTTACCTTGATAGCTTTGTGGCTGATTCTGGGCAAACCCCATTTGAACAATGCTCTGGAGATCATCCTCCCACATCGATCCGACCTGAGGATGAGCATCGGTGAAACGGTCGATCGAAGGCAGCTGAAAGCCTTGTGTTTTCATCGAGAACGGAGTCTCGGTGGTATTCGGTATGCCGTTGTTAAGTGGTGGTAGCCCTTGCTGGGGCTGATAACCGTAAGGGAATGCCGGTGACGAATCGATCGAATAAACTCCGTGCGGCAACGGTCCACGGGATTCGAACATCTGCGGAACACAACGAACGGCAAGATCGTCACTTGAAAATTCGGGATGAGTTGCCAAATAGAGAGACTAATATGAGGGAGATTAACTTACTTCCTTTGACAGAAGGGCTTCCATGTTAACATCCATCCTCGGATTCACAGTGGCCAGCTTCATAGATAGAAACTGCAGACAAATATCAGTTAATCAGACATAACTTTAGGCCCTCTATCCGAAATCGACATTAAATCGACATTACGACCGATAGCGGAGACGTCGGAAATTCAGCTTACCTCAACCTGGCTCTGTAAGGACTGCACATAGTTAATGATTTCATCAAGCATAACTGCTTTACCAGTCACCTGCAACAAATAGACTTCCCGATTTAGTATGCTAATCCGAATGCTCGTTCGATGCACTAATCGAACACGAATTATGCTGACCTTATTGCAACCAGGCACAAGATCCTGAAGGAACTTCATCCTTTCACTTATTTTCTCTCTTCGAACCTGGAAAATTTCGATTCGATACGAACATTAGACGAACATAAACCTCAATTAATAAGCAATGAATAGCTAGTACAGATCATTGATTTTCAAGGTTTTCATACTCTTTCTGCAAGACTATGACTATCAGTTGCTTGACCCCTTCTAGCCCTGACATGGATATAATCCTTCGGCGGCTTCGAATTCTCTTTGCTTTGCTTCTCATTCCCATCATTTGATGCTTTAGCATTCCCATTCCCAGCCGGAGCTCCATCTCGCCTGCTTCGTTTCGAGTTCGATTCGTCGTTCTCCGATGCAACCTGAAACGAATATCTATCATTAGTTTCACTTAGATTTTTCGATAGAATTCGACAATTCGAATAAAATCATCGTTGTCTTCAGGTACCTTGGCATCAACAGCTGCAGGAGAGGGGATTTCTTTTGCTTTTCCCCTTGGAGTTGATTTCCTTTTCCTGGTGCCAGAATCGTTCTGGGATTGGATCTGCTGAGAAACTGAAGATTCTTCCTTGGAAACACCGGATTCGGCATTCTCCGGCGAGGAAGACCTCAAAACCCCACTGTTTTTCTTATCGGAACCAGAATTCTTGTTGCTCTGAGATCCATTAACATTAATGGATTGATTTCCGGAAAGATTAAAGGAATCCATTAATGGATCATTGAAGCCACCGGAATTCCCGCCGGAACCAAAACAGGAAAATCTAGCAGCCCTCTCAGCAAATCCAGGGTCAGCTGAAAACGGCGTCAACGTTGAACGATTCAGCAAATTCACCATTGAAAAATCGAAACTTGGAGGTGAATTCAATGGGGTGGTATAACAAGAAGCATCACCAGAATTACATATGTTCCCCAATTTTCCAATCAATTCCCTCATTATTACATTTTCCCCAGAAACAGGGACATTTGAAGCTGCAGGTGAAGACACCATGGAACTCAATGCTGACTCAAAGGGATCGCTCTGATCCATTGAATTATCCCAATTCGGATTGCGAAAATGATTCCCCACTTTCTCTGTTGCACAATTCAGCACCTCGGTGTTCCATGCTGGTTGTCGTGGTGCTGTCAAAGCCTCGTCTTTTTCCATAATTTATAAAAGAGAAACACAAAATATGTGAAGATTGTTGAACACCCAGATCAATAATCACAGTGGAAACCGAGAATCAAGAAACAGAACCCAGAATTTTTTTCCCTAGAAAAAACAGAGCAAAAGAAAGTAGTGTCTTTTTAAGGAAGAAGCAAATTTGAGTGAAAAGAGTTGTTCTTCAAACAATGATGATGGTGATGATGAAGATGGTGCTTTTGTCACTCGATTAAGGAATTTGAAAGCAAAGAGCAAAAAGATTGTAGGGATTTAGAAAAAGCAAAGCTAAAAGGGAAACAAAGGGCAGAAAGTGAGAGAAAGTGAAGAGCAAGCAAGGATAGATAAAGCAAGCAAAGCAAATGTCTGTTTGACCTTTTCATTTTCGTTTTAATTTTGGGTAAATTACATATTTAGTATATAAACTATTACTGTTAATCTCTTTCAGTACTTAACTTTCAATATTTTTTAAAATCATACCTAGCACTTAGTTTTTGTTTCGTTTTAGTACCTCACCATTAAAAATTTAATGATTTATGCGTGGCACCTTTTTATAGATAAATTGCATCATTCATTGCTCAACCATCTTCTCACTCTTATTTTGATCCCTAAGTTAAATTATTTTTAATCTAATTACTTAACTTTCAAATTACTCCTAATTAAATTAGTTTAAATTTCAAATTTTTTTTTTTTTATTTTATATTAATAAAATAATAATAAAAATGACATGTCACAAAAATAGGAGCAATTGGAAAGTTTAGAGTAACAAAATAGGAGTGAAAAGATAGTTGATGGATGAATGATGTAATTTACTCATAAAAAATGCAGTTCGTTAAATTTTTAACGACAAGGTACTAAAATGAAACAAAAACTAAATATTATATATGATTTTAATTTTTTTTGAAAGTTTAGGTACTAAAACGAATTAAAACCGATAGTTTAGATACTAAAGGAATAATTTACCCTTTAATTTTTCCAATTACTTTAAATCTCATTTTTTGAGTAAATTATATCACATGTCATTAATTATTAGTATGATTACAAATGTGTCACTAATTTTCAAAAAATTACAAATTGATCATTCTACTGATCATTATAACGAACACGTCACCCTGAGTGACTTGTTTATTGTAATCTATAAATAGAGTGATAGGATTGTTATGCTCAATAAATAGAGTAACTTATTCATTAATTTATAAATAAAATAAAATAATTATTACAATATTTCTAAATCCACTAATCACAATGTAATCTTGAAATCGGGAGGGTAATAAAATAATTAATTTTATAATTTTAAATTTAATTCTCTAAATTAAATAATTTAACAATCGGTTAATATTGAGCCAACGTAAGGCTCAATCATTAATGCACACATTCACATGCAACCTTCCACTATTTGACCAAAAAAATAATTCAGCAGGAACGAATTTCAAGGTAAATTCTTTGTCTATTACCATTTAAATAATTAAAATTTAACATTATTATCTCATAAAAAGATTAAATTAATAGTGTAACTAACATTGCAGATATTTTAATTGTTTATTTATTTTATATTTTAAAGTCTCTCTCCCAACCAAAGCTTGGAAAGAATCATTTCCATGGCAGGGTTTATGATTATTTTATATTAATAAAAAATAAATCTCGAGATTAATAGGAAAAAAAATCAAATTTTGAGAATCGGTAAACGGTTTCAGTAGTAAAAGAAAATATTATTCTTCCTAGATATTTCAAGTTGAGTAGATGTGTCTATTAAGGTATGTATGCGTTGTTAATAGGGATGGGCATGGTCGGGTTTTTGGTCCACCGACCGACCGAAACAAGGATCCTCCACCGAGACCCGACCCGACCAAAACAAGGTTTCACCCGACTGGACCCAACCCGAATATATGAATTAGAAACCCTACCCGAAATAAAAAAATATTTTTATTCAATAAAAACAGTGACTTAATTGGAAAAATTATATATAAAGGGTATTGTTGTAATTATTCCTAAATATATAAGATAAAATTATATATTTTTTCGGGTCGGTTTTTCACTTAAACCGACCGACCAATATCACACTTAAAAAAACCCGGTCCGAACCTTTTTTAAAAAAATCCGACCGATCGGTCGAAACCCGTCTGGTTCGGGTTGAATACCCATCCCTAGTTGCTAATGATTAAGAAATATTATACTTAAATACTACATTGTAATTACCCTAGACTATTCAAAACAATAATTGAGTTTGAAAACTGATTTCATAGGTAAAAACAAATGTTATTTTTCTATAGAATTCAGATTCGAACAAATACATTTCTAAGATATGTACATTAAACATAGCTAATAAAATACTCCCTCCGGCCCGTTAAATATGTCTCTTTCGGTTTTTAAAATTGTCTCATTCAAAATGTCTTAGTAGAAAAGTCAAAAAACAACAATACTTATATTTCTTTTTTTATCCTTGTATATCTCACTCTTTTACATACATTAAAACAAATCTGTCAAATCTATCAAGCACCTTTTAAGGATAATTCTGTCATTTCTTTCGATCAAACATATCTCCTAAAATTATGTGCATAATCGATCTTAAATACAAATTATGGGACAATTAGAGTATACAGTATCTTATCCAGGAGTTATCCCTCCTTACAATTATATTTAGACATTTTATTAATTGGTTCTTATTATAATCATATAAATGAATTCAAACTTAATTTAAAAGAAATGGAATATTATATTTACTCATTACTATCGTTTAGGTATAACCTTCTTTCTTAAGGATAACTTTTAGATTTATTTTATGAACCGCCAAATTTTGGATAAGAGAAATAAATCAACCTTCCATTTGTTGCAAGCCCTAAATCCAAACCCTACAATAGCTTAGCCCACAATTTTAATAACTTATTGTTTTAATTATTGTTTAATATGTGTTTCAAACACATCAATTTAGTAGCCTAATTTCGGTTTCGGATTCAGGTTTAGGGTGAAAAATACTCGACCCGACCCAAAAATTATAATTTCACCTTATATATTTAGGGATAATTACAATAATACCCCTCTATATATTATTTTCTTTTAATTAAATCTCTATTTTATTAAATAAAATAATTTTTTTAATAAATATATTATTTCGGATCGGGTCAGGTCGGGTCGAATTCGAATTCAAATTTTATCTAAAAAAATCTATTCGGGTTCAGATTGGGTGGAAGGTGTATATTTTTTGGGTCGGGTTAGGATCAGGTGGAGGATTTATAATTTCGGGTCGGGTTTGAATTTACTAAACTTTATGTATGATTTTGAATTTTTTTTGAAAGTTAAGATACTAAAACGGACAAAAACCAATAGTTTAAGTATTAAACGCGTAAACCCAAAATTTAATTGTACCTCTAGCTCATATACTCTTCGAAGTTTCGAAATTCTATCATTATATTTTTATTTCTAAAAATTTAGTTCATTTACTTGTTTGATTTAAAAATTAAGCCTAGACAATTAATGAATTCTTATTAAATTTAAATATATAACATTTTTATTTTCAGAGGTTTTATTTAAAAACTAATATTCAATTGATAGCATCTATTCAAATTTAATTGAAGTCAATAAGAGTATTATAAAATCAATTTTAATTTTTAAATCAAACAAATGGGGAGACATTTTTATTTAAATTAAAAGCAAGATTAAATTTCAAAAATTGAAGAGTGCAGGGATTGAATGTTCAATTAAGCTTAATATATAAAGTATGGGCCATTTTTGTTAATTAAGTTTAATAAAGAGGTTTTTGACTTCAATCAATCAATTAACTAAATAACTTCTATTGGTCTTGTCTTAACTTATTTCCAAATGCCAATAGTAAATTTATTTATATAAACTAAATTAATATATATATATATATATATATATATATATATATATGGATTGTACCCTTATCAGAAAAGATATTAAATCTGTAAAATTTAAAGAAATGATATCTGAAAAATAATTATTATCTGTCAGGATGATATTTCAGTAAAAAAAAGCCTATGGATTGAGTAGCTGTGTAATTTGCAATAATATAAACCTAAAATATTCAATTGATGATGATTAAAATGAAAAATAAGTTGCTTTGCACCTCACAATAATATTCGATTGGGACCACCAGAGCAGACAAGACATGTAATTAGAAAATTAATCTCAAACTTTAATAAAAAAGGGTAAAGTGCAAAAATGGTCCCCAACTATAGGGTATTGCTTTGCGGATTCCCTTAATTATTAAAAGTTACAAAATGGTGCCCCAGCTGTAGGGTGATGCTTTGTTGAGTCCCTTGACTATTAAAAGTTACAAAATAATCACTCGACTATTTATATGTTTCAAACATGTCCTTTTTCGTTAAAAAAATAAACGATCGTCTGCGCTAGATGTTAAGTAGAATATGATACAATCTGATACCATAACCATTTAAGTTGTATAGTTGTTTGAGATTCTGAGATCATATTTTATCATATCTCAATCAACAGATTAATGTCCAACACAAAAGGTGAACTTTTTTTTTACTGAAAATGATGAATTTGGAATATATGAATTGTCAAACGACTATTTTGTAACTTTTAATAGTTGAGGAACTCAATAAAATAGCGACTTATAGTTGGGGGACTCAACTAATATTTTCGTATTTAATATCTATTCATTTATTATGAGTAAAATTTTTAAAATAATATTAATTAATGTGGGTATATTCTCAGATTCACCTACTCAACTAGATACTCATCATCCATCTCGTATCTGTCTATACTCGTTCATACCCATCAATTTGAGTTAATGAAACACTAATATTTGATTAAATTACAAGACATGTCTTATAAAATTTTAAGATTTACATAATAGTCACTAAAATTATACCTAAATTTATAATAGTCCCAAAACTTATATGGTGAGTAGTTAGTAGATGGGTGAATGTGGGGTGGGTAAGGTCTCAAACTCATCACCTACACACTACTCACGACCGGTATAACTTTTTACATCCATATTCACCCACTACCCACTGAACTTATATTCATCACTACCCCAATTGAAGCGGATACGGTGCTAAATCCATAAAATTATATCAATCTGCCATCCCTATTATTGATAGTTAACTCGGCTATGTACGAATTCAAACTCAACACTTTTCGACTCACATTGTTATAGATCTCGAATGCGGCCTGGACGTTCATCGAATCAAGCACGGACATCTCGACGAAGAACATCCCTTCGTATTCCACCAAACTTTTACCTTCGTCGAAGCTGATTTCCGTTGAGTTTTCCACAGCGTACTTGTTC